TCTGACCTGACCTATTCGGTGCTCTACTGGTAGATCTTGAAAAAGCTCATAATCAGGTAATGCATAATTATCAAATGTATTAGAATTTTCATCATTACTTGATTTACTATCATCCAATTCATTTCTATTTTTACTATTACCTAAAATATTATTTTCTTTAGTGGTATATTCAGTTGATTCAGAAATACATAAACACTTTATTTGGAATTGTCATCAAAAGGATAATATTATTACTACTACCTGAAATATTATCTTTTTCAGTGGTATATTTAGAAGATTCAGAAGGCTCATCGACACTTTATTTGAAATTGTCATCAGGAGGATTTATGTTGAATTTTGATTGATTTTTATACTGTTTTACTGTCTTTAAGATAAAATATAGAATTAGAATCCCCTTGATATTCATCATCTTCTGATTTATATTCAATAATTTGTTTTGCTAAAGCTAATATTATTAAAGATTCTTTCATTTCTTTCTATATTTTGAGTTGTTGGAATACATCTGAAATTGATCTTTGTGAATATCATTATCTGGTTATTACATTACGTGATAATAATATTTTAGAAGTAGAAGATATTTCTTCATCAATTAAACTAGTAATTAATCTATTTCTTCTATAAGAAGCCACAGTAGAAGATTAATTTGAGTCATTTTCTTCATTATTAAGTATGCTAATAATTAACCTTTTTCTACTCATTTTGATTATATATTTGAAAAAATAAGAGAAAAATAAAAGAAAAATAAAAGATCAAAATAGAGCAATTTATAAAGATGATTTTTATGTTTGTATTATCACTTTATATTATTTTATAAGAACGATTTTCATATTTATATTATCAATTTTCATTATTATTTGTTATAAGTATTTTCTATGAAATAATTAATCAATTATACTTTATTTAATATTTCTGATTCAATTATATTTAAAGTTTATTTAAGTTTATTTATTTCGATTTATAAATAATTAAAAATTCAGATTAGAAAATTAAAATTTTATTGCATTAGATTAGAATTTTACTTAAAGATGTTTTTTTTATAAAAAAAAAAATAAAATAAAAAAATAAAAGAAATATTATTAAATTTAACTACAACTAGCTGAAATTTCAACTAAAAACTGAATTTTATCTTATATGAAAAATATCACAAGGATATTTTATTAAAAAGCTAATTTTCAAGTAGAATTTAAGTTGATTTTTGAAAAATAAGAAGTTAAACGAACTACATCACAAGAATATTTTATTGTAAATAGTAAATATATAATGAATAAAACTAGTTATATGAATAATATTACAAGGATATTTTGTCAAATAAAACTAATTTTTCAAGTTAAATGAGTCAGAATTTAGGTTGATTTGAAAAACTAGAGGTCGAATGAGAAATATTACAAGAATATTTTGCTGAAAAAGTATAATAAAAGTTGAATAAATAAATACTGGGTTGATTTGAGATATATAAAAGTACTAATTTTACAATTAACTTTCTTTAGAAAATAACAATTTCTTAAATTTCACTTATTTTTTTATATATATTAAAAAAATAATTAATTTTTTTTATTGTAGCCTTGCACAATTAATATAATTTTTGCATGTATAATTAATTATATTAATTTGATTTTCGCATTTATAAATCTCTACTTTTCTGCTAACCAGCTTTATCTTTTTCTTATAATAGAAATGAAAAAATGAAACTAAACAAAAAAAGTGCAATAAGTGCAACAACCAAAAAAAACAACAGAAGCAACCAAAATAAGCACAATAAGTACAAAAAATGCAAAATTCACAAAAGATGAATCAAGTAGCTAAAATGCTAGCAGCGTTAAAGCAACAAAAGAAAAAGCAGAAATCTGATATCAATGAAAAGCTAAAAGTCCTAGAACATAAGTTGATTTTTATCTTATTATACATTTGATACTCATACAAATTTCTAAATTATAGATCAAGTGAATATTAGTGAATTACGAAAATAATATAAAGACATTCAGCTCCTATCAAAATACTAATATAAATTGATGACAGCTCGTTCAGCTTTAGTCAAAATGATAACAATAGATGAATATGATAATTTGCAAACTAGTATCAAATTGTATTCATTCTCCAATTATTAATAAATATAGTAATATAACAATATATTTTTTATATAGAAAATTGAAAGCTGAAGGAGCAACTCGATGAATTTTGCAAAAAGATCAAGCAACTTAAACAAAAAATTCTGATCTTTCCTGCAAAAATAAACTATTAGAATCCAAAAATCGAATCTTTGCAGAAATTAATGATAAATTTAACAAGAAAAATAATGATTTACTGAAAAGGTAAAATTCTATTTGAGAATACTTATTTTAATAATTTTCTTGCCTCTTTCTTTTTTAATATTTCAAACTCAATTGATTTGTGAAAATTTAGCTGCCTAAATCAATGAGGTAGCTGAAAAATGATTCTAGTGATAAACTTTCTGCTAAATAATGAAAATTTAAAAGCAAATTGCCAGTCCATTAAACTGATGATAAAATGGAATATGAATTGACAAAAAAATTTCTGAGAAAAATAGCAATTTATCAGCAGAAAAGCTAAACGTGAAAGAAGCCAGAATATATTTGAATTTTTGTTGATTGTATAAATATTCTAAATTTCACTGATTTTTTTTTTGATTTCATATTTTGGTTAAAATGAAAACAGTTTTAAAAACCATCGATCTGAAATAAAATTTAGACTATAATGTTATATTTAATAATGAAAAAATATCCAAAAGTAATAAAGTCTAATACTGGAATTATGAAAGACTTTAGCTTTAAATTTTTGACCTTCTGTTGACTAATTGGAAGGCGGTCAGTAAAAAGGGAGGAAATCCAAATTTTAGTCAAAATTTTTTTAATTAGTTTACTTCACTAATCATAGTTATATAATAAAATTAGCTTAGTGACTAAAATTTCTAAAATTTTCAGATTTTTCACTTTTCTACTGATTATCTCCCAATTGATAAACTGGCTTTAAAGCCTTCACAAATCATGACAATTGACTCAACAAAATAAGTGAAGCAAAAGAATAGTTATTGAATAGCGATGACTTCAGTAAATAATCAAGTATAAGATGTTAGTAAATAAAATTACTTCTGACTTTGATTTATTTATTTAAATTTAATATAAATTTATTATTTTAGAAAAAAATACAATAAATAAAGACCACAAAACATTTATTTATGCAAAATAATACAAGAATTTTAAAATATGAAACGTAGTTTTTATTATGAATGCTAGCTGATTATTATGCTACTCGTTTAAAATTAGCAAGACAGGTAATAACATATACAATCACTTATAGTGATCGGTCAAGATTTTTTAACATTTCTACTTTTATATAATTCGCATTTATTAACTTTAGTTAATTTTACACTTTCTTATTTCTTATTTTTGCTAAAAAACTCTTTTGAAAGTACTCAATTCACATGTTGCAACCTCATCAAAATGAAATACAATAATGAAATGCAGTGCTATGACCAGCTGCATCCTGTGAATACCTCTGAATAGTTTCAAATTGACCAACCAGATATATTCTTTAACATCAAAATCAAAGCGTACAAATTAGATAGTAAAGAATATGGTAGTATTCTATTAAAATTAAGGTATACATCATATGATTTACTATGACTCATAACTCACTTTTAATAGATCATCTCCCATATGTCACAGATAAAGAAGAAATTATTAAAGTCAAAAGGAGGCAAAATATTAGCAGCTGGTAGTGATGAATGCAATGATTCAGGTAACCATTTTGAGATAGATGAATAATAGTAACAACTATCTCAAGATAGTAGATATGATAGCAATAACAATGATTTTATATATTTTTTTAATAATTAGAAGGGCGGGTAGGGCTTCTTTTTTTTGTATTTTTATTTTATTTTTATTTATTTTTGATAATTGGGAAGACAGGTAGGATAATTTCTTTTTTTTTGCTTATTTACTCTTTTTCTTTATATATATTTTTTTCAAATTTATGATAGTGGGTAGGATAATAATTTTATTTTTTTTACTTATTTGCTTTTTAGTTTAGTTTGTTTAAAAATTGGAAGGTAATTAGATAACTATGATGATGTTAACATTACACACAGGTCGAATGATGAAGAATCGGGATATGAAGAACCGGTGAAGAATCAGGATTATATCAGATTTGATTCTTTACCAACTCTTCTTTTTTTTTATCATTAAAGAATCAGTATCCGATGCTTTTATGAATTTTAATTTATAAAATACCTTAAGATTCTATAAATTTTTTAAAGTACATCATATAATAATAAACAACAAATCAGTTTCCCAATTATTTTCTGGGCATTTATTAATTTTATCATTAAAGCATTGGTCAATCATCAAAGTTTCTGATTCTTATAATAACTATATCCAATAAACTACATATATTAAAATGAATGATTTAAGGAAATTTAATACTTTATGATTGCAAAAAGTTATATATTTATTAATATTCATAATATACACAGGTACTGCGCTGCATCGTAAATTCTAAATATCAATCTTTCTATTTATTGGTATTACTGACATGCATTGCCGGGTTTTCTTTTTGTCAATGAAAATGAACCTTTACAAACTGATCTAATATACTATGTATCAGAATAATGCAATTCCTGCTAAGTTCAAAAAATTCCTTTTCCCATAGTTCTATATTACAAGAAGCATCATCTTTGTCAATTTGCAATGAAATTTAGTCTTGTGATTGTTTACTGGAAGATACCACCTAACAAATGCCAAAGAGTATGTTTTAGGTTTGAGAAGATATATTGTGTGCTCAAAATAAAATTGAACAAGGCTGGGATAAGTATCCTATGAGTAAATTGTGATAATATCTTGGCTGATTTTATATGTCTTTTAGAGTATGATGATCCAAAAATTTCAGATCCGAGTAGTAACCGTCCATAAATATTTACTCTTGATAATACTGGTATAGTATCAAATGGTGCAGTATGAATATCAGACAATAATGCAAAATTTTTATCATACGCAATAATATTCAACTAACAAATTCAATACTTCTTTCGGAAGGTTTGTGCTTATTTTATTTGGATTAAGAAAAGAGCCTGGAAAAGACTTTGATCCCAACCCAGCCATCTCTTCCACATTTATAGACATTGATAAAAATTTCCGGTAATTCATTTCATTAAACTCATCAAAAACCGCTAGACTTCCAATAGCTTCTTTTGGTGTTATTAGAGATAAATAAGCTGATAAATGGTCATGATTCTGAATATTTGTAGAATACTTATTGATAAGAGAGTTATATTGAATAATTTTAATAATTCTGATTTGATTCTTCTATTACTGCTATAGTACGAACCTATAAATATAAAATATTTAATACATATCTTTAGATTAATAATTTGACAAGATCATAAGGAATCATAATTATCCAACAAGCCATTAATACGTTGTTAGCTTAAACGGTTCATCATTAAGTTAACTAAGATTATTTGCTAACAGGGAGTTTAAGTTCGTCTAAACTATGGAAGAAATAAACACGGATTAATTATGTTGAAGGGTTAGGTTGTCTTTATCGATATAGATTTAAAGAAGTATGAAATTGTATATTGAGCAAAGATATAATTGTTAAGAGATAAATGTTA